TGAGAAAGCCAGCGCAACCGACGCGACTCGGTCAAGCAGTGCCCCGAGGCTGCAGTTGTAGTACTCCGCCACCAAAAGCCACAGACTGATTTGTCCGAGGAGCCTAGTCAGCGACGCTTTCAGCCCGCGGTAGAACATCTGTACTTTGGCCTGATGCCTCACCTTGGATGCGGACTGAAATCGGCCTAGTGTAGGTGTGTCTATGCACACATGAATTATATATATATGTGTGTGTGTATGCCGGTGGTTGGAGATGGACAGGAGTGACCAGATGGGGCAGTCAGAGATCCGTGCAGGTTGAGATCCTACAATGATCGCGACTAGCTTGATCAACAAAATTGGTGCTCTTTTTTCGTTTGGTAAAAATAAAAGTTTTCGCTATTTCGCTGTATAATTATGCAATTGTACATATTGGCATATATCGCGAAAAAGGCAGTGTCTTTGCGGCTTTGCCTTTGGTCTTCATCTGCTTCCGAGTGCGTCCGACAGACCGGATGTCCGCTAGATCATCTGCCAAGTTGTGGTTCCTCTCGAAACCGCCCAAGGGATAGAGGATCATGAGGGTTATCGAGTGATTCCATCACTTTTCCCGCTGCGTCGCCAACGCCTTTGAACAGCCACAGTTACTGCTGTCTGATTCGCCACACGTCTAAGCCTACTTGCTTCACATTACTACTTAAATCACTCTACTACTCATAATCATAAATGAGCATACAAACATTCACACTAACACACGTAGGCACAATCGAATTCAAAAAAGTAAAATACTGTCTTCATTGGAGTGTAACAGGCATTTCGTGGCAAGACAAGGAGGCAATACTGACGACTCAAAGACATCATGAAATGAGAATAAAATCTCTCAGATGAATTTGAGCTTTAACTATTGAAAGTTTCCACCCAGCCTCGGCTTAAATAAAAAGCAGTCATGAATGAGCTTTATCGCATTCGAGAAGAAGTTGTGTTAGAGGATTTAGATTACTTATAGCGGCAGAAATCTAGTCGAATGGGAATTAAAGGGAATTCTGGTAGGTTAGAATTTGCAGGATTAATAATGCTAGATGAGATGTCTTAAAAATCTGCTTATAAAACTGAAAATTAATAATATTATTTTCAAAGTGGCCTTACCTCGTGTTGTCATTGCGACTTAGTAGAATTCACCTTGTCTGAAGTCCCCTCCATAGTAGTTAGCATAAACGAAATAAAGTGTATAATTGACGCAAGAACCGTAAAATAAAGGTCAGCTGCGAATGCTACATGACGATTTCTCCACATTTATGATAGCAACTGAAGTATTAGTTATACTATATTGAAAATAAATAATTCTTGGTTTATACAAACAAAAATATAGAACTGCAAAGATGCCATATTTAAAAGTATATAGTACATATAAAATGAAATTAATTTTAAAATTACTTAGTATCTATATTAATACAATATATTAAGCAAATAAATAAAGAAAAATCTTTTCTTTCAATTAAATGCAACTTTAATGTAAAGGATAATGTAAGAGCAGCAGACAATGCTTAAAGATAATTCAACAAAACACGAAGACAAGATAGTGGAGCGGTTTCATACTAAACTAACCATTCTCAGACTATGTCAGAGGGCTTCGGACAAGGTGCGTTCTACTAATTCGCCCTGACAACAAGACCAGGTTGCAAAAAAAAGTCAACCTACTACTATAAATCGAAAGGAGATCGAGATCATACCGTTTTTAGGTAGTTTTTTTTAGAAAACCAGTCAATCATTTATATGAAAGGTATTCTCCCTATTTGGTAGAGGTAATAAAGGACTAATGGTTGAATTTTCCCACAATAATATAAATAGAACTTACACTTCCATTGGCTTTCACATAGCCTTGCTTCCCGAAAGGTTTTCGCACTCGGGCTGGTCAGGAAAGTAGTTTCAACCTCGCATTGGCCTCATCAGCAACCCCGATGGGACTCGAAGTATGATATCGCAGTGTATAATCCCGACACATTAACTACTACAACACACAACAACGAATGCTTTAAGTCACATTATTAGGTTTCAGGTCCTGCTGCGGTCGCTGATAAGACCTACGGTCTACTCTAGCCTGGATCAGAATACTTTTCGGGAAGCAAGGCTATGCAAAATTCAATTTACCACTCATAGTATTGTGAAAAAATTCAACTATCAGTCATTAATCGCTTTAACGAAATAGGGCAAACGCATCTAATAATGTTGATAGTAATAATAATAATGTGTAATAATAATAATAATAATAATAATAATAATAATAATAATAATAATAATAATAATAATAATAATAATAATTGTAATAATACTAATAATAAAATTAATAATAATAATATGTAATAATAGGCAAAATTGATAGCAAGTAACAAATAAATAATATTTGTATATTATAATAATGAGATATCAATAGATTAGTAAATAAGGAAATAAATACTATTAGTAAAAGATATCAGGACCAAGATGTTGTGGCCTCTATTTTCGTCTACGTGCACTTTTCCTGTGTATAAGTTGTCTGACGTCGTTTTCGCAACTTAGTCGCGCTGCCATGGCGACCTTGTTAAACATATTTTGTTCGAAGTCTTTTGCTATAGTAGTTATCATAATTCACAGCTTGGGATCGTGGAGTTGGTACATTCTCAGACATTTCGCCGGCATCCTAGTTGGCATAGTCAGTGAGTCATGCCAGTCTTAGAAACCAGCTACAATTCGTCAAGGAAAAATGTGAAGTCGATCCTTTGAATGACTGTCTGCCAAAAAAGTGTGGAATAAATATATATATTTTTTTATTAATTTTCTTACATATTAATCGGGCTGAGTGTTTGCCTAGGTTAACAGTGAGTCAACAAGACTGACTATCTCTATTCTATATTCTATAGCTTTGGTAATTATTCTGAGGTATGACCGGTATTAAGTAGATTGACATGCATGCGTACAGTGGTTGGCATACGCTCAAACAAAGAGACACACATTCAAGTACAAGTATCCTTATTACTATGGGCTAAAAGTAAGCGAATCTTTTGAAGAGGTGCTTCTTCAAACGAATCAAAGGTATGCATTCTGGAATTCTTCAAAGCACAGCCTTTCCTCATACCTACGAAAGATCAGTTCGTTTTCACCCAAAGCGAGTGACTGTGTTAGGCTCAACTTGGTATTAGAGCCAACGGCTGTAGAACAACCGGAATCAACAGTCGACTTCAGGCAAGATGAATCAACGAATCTCTTTAACATGCACTTTTGCGCTGAATTAAAGTCTCCTCACATTGAGCCATATTGAGGGATTTAGTGAAACCTAGTTACTCTTTGCATACTTTGCATAAGAAACTGCTTATATATGACGCCATCGAAATGGCGACTTCTTTGCTTTGTCTGTCACATGCTTTCCTGGATTGTGTTGACTGGGTATCCGGTTTTGGTGGGGCAGACCTGTTTACGCAATCGCAGACGCTACAAAAGCCTTATTCGTCTGTACTCTTATCACCCCTTGCACGCATACACATCGCTTCCGGTCATAAAGCTGTGTGGACCTGAGATGTGTGATTAATTTGCATCTGTTCACGTGGCGACCTGCAGTCAGAAAGATATTGTGATGAGAAAGAGAGAGAGATAGAGAGAGAGGGAGAAGAAAGAGGAAGAAAAAGGTGACCGGCTGAGAAAAAGAGCGCGAGGGCAGAAGAGTACAGAATTGATATAACTTTACACACGAAGCGTCATATAAATAAGGCGCCATAAACTACGGCCCACCGGTGAGAGAAACCCACAATCTCTATTCCTGCTCCTCCTTCACCTCCTCCTCC